GGCAACATTGAAGCCAGAGCAGGTACATGCTATTTCTTTTTGACACTAGAAACGGGCAGGAATTTTGGACCTCAAATCATAAAACTGAGATTCGGAGATTTTCTCTGTATCATTCGGGAAGATAGAGAGAAAGACTGTGGACTCTGAATTGGAGACACTTTCAAATTCCAAGGTTGTGATTTGTCTTAGAATATGTAACTATGAGCCTCACTTTTCTCATTACTTGAGTATTGAGGGTTATGTTTTGCTATCGGATTTTGTGGAAGTTAAAAATACTTAGTCTTGGTGTGGCACTTCGGGAGACAGCATTGGACCGCAAGGCCAATTTGGACCACAAGGTCAGCGGTTCAGGTTCACCGGCCGCTCTTTGGAAACCCTATACAGGGTTGCTGAGTTGGGACTGACTTGACAGCACTTAACAACAACTTGAAAAAGTGAAGCATGTGGACCATTGTGCATAGTAGGTATTTAATCCGTAAGAGGTATTTGAAATCATCATTCTTATTTCTTATTGGAATTCTCAGCGTATTCCTTGAACAATGTTTTAAATATTTTCTTTCATTGTAACTTATACAGATTATATTAAGGAGCCCTAGTGGTGCAATGGTTAAGCACTCTGCTGATTACTGAAAGGTTGGAGGTTCATACATATCAATAGTTCAGTGGAAAAAAGAATCAGTGATCTGCTCATGTAAAGATTACAGCCAAGAAAACCCAATGGGGTAGCTCCACTCTGGGCCATAGGGTCATCATGAGTTGGAATTAACTAGATGGCACCTAACAACATAGACTACAGTACTTTGGATGAATTTGTAGTGTATTTTACTTCATATGCTTATGAAGAAGTCCTGGTGTGGTTCTGTTGGATTAATAGTGGACTGCTAACTTCAAGCTCTGCAGTTCAAACCCACTATCTGCTCTTCAGAAACCCTATACAGGGTAGCTGTGAGTTGGATCTGACTCAACAGCACTTGACAAAAACAACATGCTATGAAAGATACCCTATAAACAGAAATGGATGTAAGTTGGCCACTTTAACATAAATAATTCTAAGAAATGCTATAAGAAAGGAAAAGAAAAGAGAGGAGGTGGTGAAGCTGCAGCAGGAGTAGCAATGTTGTGGTTGTGTGCCGTGGAGTGGGTTCCAACCCATAGCGACCTTGTACAGGGTTTCCGAGGCTGTAAATCTTTACGGGAGCAGAAAGCCTCATCTTTCTCCCATGGAACAGCTGGTAGTTTTGAACTGCTGACCTTGTGGCTTGCAATCCGATTCGTAACCACTATGCTACCAGAGTAGCGTTAGGAATAAATAGCTTTGAAACACTCCTGTGACTGTTCCTCAATCTCTTCATTCCTTCTTTGTGGTGGTGGTGGTGGTGGTGGTGGTTATGTACCGTTAGGTTGGTTCCAACTCATAGTGACCTTGTATAGGGTTTCCAAGGCTGTAAATCTTAATGAAGTATAAAGTCTCATCTTTTCTCCTGTGCAGCGGTGGTAGACTGAAACTGCTGACCTTGTGGTTAGCAGCCCAGTTTATAATCCACTATGCCTTCAAAGCTTTTAGAGGTTCCATTTCTCTTTATAGTTGTCCCTAAATATTTATCCCTAAACACGTACTTTAAAATTACTATTTTATTATGTTGTCTATGTTTTTGAGCTTTATATGAAAAGGTTGGTAACTGCATCAATTTTAATAATAGTCATATTAACAGGGCTTCTTTGTAGGTGTGTGGATATTGTCCTATCACTATAGCTTTGTGCTTCAGGATAGATCTTGAAAATATTCTTTTTGACAGAACCCCACTTGACATAGGTCTAACCTTCTTTTATTTGGTGATTTTGGGCAGCTACCCAATGTTGAGTATCTTTTTATATGCTTCTTGCTGTCTTGTATTACCTTTTTTTGTGAAGTTCGGATCTTCTGCCCATTTTTAATTGGCTTCTTACTATTGTGTTAAAGGTAGCTTTATATATTTGGGATGCAAATTCTTTGTTAGATAATTGCACATATTTTCTCAGTCTTTGGCTTACTTTTTCATTTTAAAAAATGTGTCTTGAAGAAACAGAGGACCCTAGGACTATCAAGGGAGAAGAGCACAAGCAAAATGCAGGACCTTATCCAGAGAAGCAGCGACACCAGAGATGGAGGCAGAGATGGGGTCATGGAGACATGGAGCAGCTGAGGACTCTAGATTCATGGAAAGAGAGGGACTGACAGCTGGTAGCCAGGAGGCAGACTTGCAGAATGTGCCCTTTGGTGGTGTAAATTACTATATATGCCTGAGTGTTTAAAAAAAAAAAAAAAGCTAAAATGAATAGAGTGAAATACTGTTCATTGGTAATACATGATAGTATGTGGTAGGGATTATAATCTTTGTAATGAAACAAAGTATATGATTTGTTGAATGTAAAACTGATGTCATGGTCTTTTCAATAGTCTCATCTGCATGTGAAAGTTGAACAATATATAATGAATACCATAGAGGAATTAGTGCATTTCAGTTATGGGCTTGTAGAAAAAAATGTTGAAAGTACCATGGACTATCGGAAGACCAAACAAATCTGGTTTGGAAAAAGTACAACCAGAATGCACCTTGGAAAGAAACCAGGATAGAGCTACTTCCTGCTGACAACTTGTTAGAAGTTTAAGAAATGAACAAGTCCCTAGGGAGAGCATCACGCTTTGTAAAGTGGAGTGTCAGCTAAAAAGAGGAAGACTCCATTGAGGTTGATTGGCACAGTGGCAGCAGCAATGTGCTCAAGGATAACAATGCTTGTGGGTACGGCACAAGACCAGGCAGTGTTTCTTTATGTTTTGTATAAAGTCACTATAAGTTGGAACTGACTCAATAGCACCTAACAACAACAACAGTAATGGTTTTAATGAGGTCAGATGGTTTTAATGAGGTCAGATGGATGCAATGTACAGGATTAGGTTGTTTTTTGCTCTATCTCTTTTGAGACATAAAAGGAGAGAAGTGAACAGAGTTCAGAAGGGCCTACTACAACCAAAATAAGGATCCTGGAGTGGAAGGGCATCCTTTGGAGCTGGGGTTGCTTCCATGTGCAGCTCATAGATCCAGAGGAGGATCAATGCCAAGATATACAGAGTTCTCAAATGAATATTTGGCCTATAGGTATTAAAAGGAAGGAGCTCTGGTAGCGTAGTGGTTACGAATCGGGCTGCGAACCTTAAGGTCAGCGGTTCGAAACTACCAGCCGCTTGCGGGAGAAAGATGAGGCTTTCTACTCCCGTAAGGATTTACACCCTCGGAAACCCTGTACAGGGTCGCTATGGGTCGGAACCGACTCGACGGCACTTAACAACAACAGGTATTAAAAGGAGACGAGGACCTTCCCCATAAACAACAAAGTGAAATCCTTCCCCTAGAATCTGTACTCTGAATTTGGCATTATTATCTCTGAAACGGAAAGAATTGAATTCCTGGTTGTTGGGAGGGAAATGATATCTTGAAGACTGGTTTTAATTTTGAAGTTCAGTACATCAGTTTTTTTTTCTCTGGTTAATTTTATCTTGTGTCCCAACTTAGAAATCTTCACTTTTATTTCAAGGCTGTTAAGATTCCTTTCTATGTTTTCTTTTAGAAGTTTTGTAGTCTCAGCATTCACATTTATTATCAGATTTTACTTTTTGAACATGACTTGAGTCAGAAGCCGATGTTCATTTTGTTTCTTTAGGAATCTATCAGGTTTTCTGGTTTCATTTGTGAAAAGACTGTCCTTTCCCCCATTGAATTTAGGTAAGGTGTGTAGGACCTAGTTTAGGTCTGTTTACCTAAACTTTGGTAGATACACTTAACAGTATACCAGTATCATTGTATTTTGATTAATATAGCTCTGTAGTAAGTCCTTTCAGTATTCAGTAGAAGTAGTGAGTGTACACATTAATCTTCAACAGAAGCATTCAGTCTTTCATCATGATGATATTAGAGATGTTTGGTAAGTGCCTTTCATAGTACTGAAGGAGTGTCTTCTATTCCTGCTTTTCAAAGCTTTTCTATTATTGTTAAGTGACACTGAGTTAGTTCCACGTCATAGTGACCTGCATAAGGTGTCCAAGGCTTCATAAGTTTATGGGAGCAGAAAGCCACATCTTTGTCTCATGGTTGTTAGACTCAAAACACTGACCTTGTGGCTAGCAGCCCAGTACTTATCCTATAGAGCCACTGCATTCCCATTTGCAATTATTAATGGTACTAAGTTTTGCCAAATGCTTTTACTTTGTTAATGTGGTGATTTAAACCGATTGATTTTTTTTTTTTTTTTAATATTCAACCAGCCTCTCATTGCTCAGGATGTAATGTACTTGGATGGTTCACAATCCATTTTTATATAATACTGGATTGAATTCACTAATACATAGTATTGAGAATTTTTGTATTCATGTTAACGTTGGTTTTCAGGTCTGGAAATTTTCTGGAAGAACTTACCTGGTTTCATCTTGGGGTACAGCCATTCATTAAAAATGATTTCTGAAAATACAGTTCCCCTTCATTTTGATGTGTGCATGATAGGGAGGGATTTCTCTGAAATGCTGTCTTACCTACTGCTGAGGAAGATGACTAGAAAGATGGTTTCACCTGTCTGCTTTTCCCGAAAAGGTTGATGTAGTGTCGAGTACTTTAGGATATTACTTTTGCAATGCCATAATTTTTACTTTATTTTACAATTGCATGTTGTACTTTGAATTTAAAACTTCAGTTCATAGAAATTGAGAACTTTTGGATATTGTGTGTGGGCATCCAGTTGATCAGTAGCATTTTGGATTTGTGAATTCATCTGTAAATGTTTGACGGTCATGAGAGTAGAGAAAGAGACTCCATTATTTATAAATACTTACTTATATTTTCCATGGGTTTAATTCTACTTTAATAAAAAAAATTACTCCGTTTAATACCTTGTTTTTATCTTACATTCAATATGTGGTCTTTGCTTTGATTTTTCAGGACTTTTTCCATCGCCTGTGTTTGTATTCAATCATGGGGAGGAAGCTGGACCTGTCTGGTTTAACGGATGATGAAACAGAACATGTTCTTCAGGTGGTTCAGCGAGACTTCAATCTCCGTAAAAAAGAGGAAGAGCGATTAAGGTGAGTTTCCTCTGTGCCCAGCTGGCTGGTGTGAACCACCATAGATACGTGAAACAGGCTTCCTGAGAGTCTTCTTGACAGGTAGCCCAGGGTTATGTCTTTAGGTCATATTAACACATTCTTAAGTTTAAAAGGCAAATGTCCTGCCCATTGTAAGAACAGTTTTCCATCTTAATACTGGTCAGCAACTTGCCAACCTGAAAAAATGTGAATGTTCATACTCCCTGTTGAAATTTTGTCAGGGCTGCTCCCTCGTGAACTCTGTAGTATATATAGAGCAAGTGGAGTTTGTGGTGAAGATGGATAGTTCAAACTTGGTCCTGGCTACAGTTTTCCTATCAGCAGATATTGCCGGACAATAACTAAAGTGTAATATGAATATGTATTGGGAGAATTAGACTGATGCATACAGTATCTTCTGTGAAGACTCTCAGCTACCATGGTGCTGGAAAAGTGCTGCAAAATCCTGATACAAGAAAACTGCCCACTGGTGGGGATGACATCCGCTCGCTCAGCACCATTCTTCCCATTTTACAGAGCAGGTAATTGAGACCTGGAGGAGGAGAGCCTCTTGATTCCCTGCAGTTGTTAATTCCACTGTGGACCGCTTTTGGAAATACTATGGCAGCTCATTGTTAGGGAAGAGATGCCTTAGTTTGGAAGAAGAGTGATAGAAATGATATGAGGTCATGTCTTAAAACCTGATAGGAAGTCATTGCTAGCTCCCTCCCTTTTTCCCTACAGCTGTAGGATTGCTTAGCTTTCTTTATTCAGGATTGCTTAGCTTTCTCTGTTCATGGTACCATCTTCTTCCTTGAAACTAGGCACAAAAGCTTAGAAATGTTATACCTCCCTTGCCCTGGTTCCCGAATTCAGGGTGGTGCTAAGCCCTGTTAACTCTGCTTCTCTGACATCTCTCCGCTGATCCTCAGCCGAGTCCAGCTTTAGTCCCAGTTATTGAAGCCATCCTTTCTTATGCTCCTGCTTCCACTCTCAGCTGCCACAACTCCATGGAGGATGTTAGAAATTTTGGCAGACAAAAAATTTCCCATCCCTGCACACGATTACTGAGTTGGAACTGACTAGACTACACATAACTACCACCATTAGACTAACTCTGAGCACCCTGTCATCTTTATTTTCACCACTTCTTTTCCTTCCACTCTCATATTTATATACATCTATAAAGATCGAGAGTTCAGGTGAGAGATACAAGCTGGAGATAAAAATTTTACAATGGAAACCATCACCTAGATGAGCAGGAGAATAGATAAACCAGGGAAATTGAGTTACAAATGCCAGACAACAGAAACACCTGCCTGAAGTTTGTGGTCACTGATTTTTATTGAGACCATTGTCCATGTGGTCATTTAGCTTACTCAGTTTTGTGCCCCAGATTATAAGCACAGGACCTGGTATGTAGCGGGAATGCCCCAAATGTCTGTTGAATGGATAAATAAGTACAAACTATCACTCCAAATGGTAGACTTCATGTGTTGTTTGATGGATTGGTCTTAATATTTTTTATGAAACATAATGTCCACCTGTGTACCATGCTTCTTCTCCTGGAAACTCAAGTGTGAGTTCTTCAAGGCCTTGTTTGATGGCCTCTTCTGAATGAGGAGAGTTGCTTTAGCTACACCACAAAGTCAGGGGCCACTCTGCATGGAAGAGCAGCTCTGCAGCTTGGTTTGGTTTAAAGATAGCGCTATTGCCACGGTGGACTCAACAAGGTGGTTCCATCTTTCTGGTGAGAATACTGGGTCTTACTGGGCAGCAGACCGTGGTCCTACTACAGTTCCATGTGGATGCATGTTTGTGGGATCTGGTTGTGGCTGGGTAAAGAATGCTGCCTGACTTATTCCCAGGTCAGGCTGAGATCTGTAGGAACTGCCTTCCCAACTACACAGATAGCTCAGGGCCAGCATCCCAGGCTAAGAGAAATTTGAGGCCAGGAACATGTCCAGGTGCTTGGAAGGTGAAGTGTGTGTGGACGAGAGGTTAAAGTTGGTGTGATGGGTTCTGCTTTCGCTTGTGGAGACTTCCCTTGTTAGAAAGGTGCTTGTGCCTTCTCTAACCTCAGGGCATGGATCTTCAAGGAAGCAGACAGTCCCCCACATTAGAACTGTGGGATTCAAATCACCAGCCTCTAGACTTAGCCCTCATGATCAACTCCACTTTGTACCTTAGCTCCCGTTTGTAATGGAGAGAAATGGGAAGAGGAAACAAAGTAATTTTTATAAAGCACATTCTATCCTCTAGGCACTGGCTTGTGTTCAATACAGAAACCCTGTATTGAACTGTATCTGACTCTCAGTGATCCCGTATAGGGTTTCTGAGGCTATAAATCTTTACGAGAACAGAAACCCTCATATTTTTCCTGTAGTTGGGCTGGTGGGTTTGAACTACTAACTTTGTGGTTAGCAGTCCAGTGCTTTTCCTACAGTACCATCAGGGTTGCTTTCAATGTATAGCATGCATTTAAAAGGGAAAAAAAAAAAGTGGGAGGGAGGAAGAAAGGAAGGAAAAAGAATGTTTGAAACTATCAGTGGTCAAATGGGAATGACCTTTGGCCACAGCACACCTAGTGGTCTGGCGATTGGATGTTTTCTTTCACTGAGACCACCATCAATATTTCCCTTCTTCCCATGGCACAGTTGACCTGCTTCAGCAGGGGCCTAGTAAATGGCATGACACTGGGTGAGTTCAGCAAAGAACTTTATTATTGGACAAAATGAGGCTGGAACATCACCACCTCAACAGAACTAAAATAGACACACATCTGCCTCACTCTTCTGTATTGCTTGGATTTAGGGCACATGGAAGGAAGAGTCCAGGATGCTGTGATTAGAAAATATTTTTAGTTCATTAATGTTTACTTTAATGAATGCAAACCTTAGAACGGAAGCTTTTTAGTTTCCAGTTTCCAGCTGAATTAATTTTTTTCTCCTGACCAGCTGTGTTTTATTTACCTGAGAGATCTTAGGTGAAGCGGTCACCCAATGTTCGTAATGATCTGTTCTTAGTGCTGACACTAAGTGTAGTAAATAGGTGGTTGAAGTGTAAATTAAGTGTCATCAGAATATATCAGGGTAAGGTAGAGAGTCCTGCTTAAGAATGCAGCACAAGCAGGTCATTAAAATGAATTCATAGAAAGAGAACTAAAAGGCGTCAGGGAATCACTGTGAGCCACACTGCCCTGAACACTCTGCTCCATTCTTTGACTCCTTGAGGCATCATCCCTCTAAGGAAGGTCTCATTTTACAGTGGTGGTACCCAGGCACAGAGAGGTTGCGAAATTTGTACAGCATCACAGTTTATTGGGAGGTGGCTCCAATTCTCTCTCTCAAATCCTCTTAGTTGAGTGAATGACTTAAGCCTTCTCAAAGCTGTGTTGGTTTTTTAACTTGTAGTTTAATAGAGAGTCAGTCGTGAATAGTGAAGGTAGCTCTCATTTTAGAGTCTGAAAATGTGGGTTCAGGTCTTAGTACTAGTCCCAACTTGTGCAAATCACTTACCGTTTAATATATTTTATCTCCTCTGTGAAATGGGAAAGAAGGTGCCTGGTGTGGTGCAAGTGATCTGTGTTCAACTATTAACCTGGAGGTTTGTGGTTCGAGCCCACATAAGGGCACCGTGGAAGAAAGGCTTGGTGTTCTGCTTCCATAAAGATTACAGCCTTGAAGAACACTATAGGGAAGTTCCATTCTGTCATATGAGTCAAAATTGACTCTATGGCAATGGGTTTGAGGTTTTAGGACTCAGGGTAAGTGGTTTGGGTTTGAAATGGGGCAAATGTTGCCTGCAGTAAGTGCTGTGTTTGAAAGTGCTCTGTGAGTTGCTAGAGACATGAGGGTAAGTGATAGTAGTTGCCATGGATTTGTTGCGGAGTTCTGAGATATGGGAAGCCTTTCAGAGTGGAGAACCACAGCAAGCATCCTCAGCTGCTGAAGGGGAAGGGCAGGTAGGGCTTCATGCCTTCAGCTGGGGCCTCCCTCCCTTGGAGAATGGGGGCCTGAGCCTTTGGGCTGGCTTCATTGGATATTTCATAAGCATCTCAAGCTGTGTGTCCAAATGGTTTCCCCTCCCATGGTGAAAGCAGCTCCTCAGCCAAGCCTTGTGGAGAGTGATGGACACCAGTCCCACTGCAGACCTGCAGATGTTGGACTCCTGCATCCTTTTAGCAGGATACGAAGCAGATCTTTGCAGGCACACCAAGCAGGACCCATGTGGTTTAATGTGCTCTGAACAGAGTTTTCGACTCAAGTGAAACTTGTGGCTGGATTCTCAGATTACTACTAGGTTAAGCTGCCTTCAGGGAAGTGGTATTTAAGGAATAATGCTTAAAAGCCTGTTTTTGTACTTAGGTACAGTGCCCCCACGTGAGAGAGTAGAACTGCCCCACAGGGGTTTCCAGGCTATAAGCTCTACAGGAGCAGATGGCCAGGGCTTTGTCCCATGGAGCTGTACTAGGTGGGTTCAAATCATTAACCTTTCAGATAGCAACTCAGCAGTTAACTGTTGTACCTCCAGGACTTCCTGATGGAATGCCTGCTGTGTGTCAAATGTGGTTGATACTGAGTACAACGCAAGAAACAACTCTGTGCACTGCCCTATCTAGGGAATAGTGGGAAAAGACAAACATCGAGCAAAGAATTCTAAAAAGGTCTTTAACTTCAGTTTTCAAAAGGGGTCATGCAGGGTGTTTGTGAATGCATAAGCAAACATTGCTTAGAAATTCAAGAGTCAGAAAAGGCATCTACAGGTAAGTACATTCACACTGTGTTCTGAGGGATTATCAGGAATGAGCCAGGTACAAAGGGGAGTGCAGTTTGTAGGTGCAGGTTTGGGGTGTGCAGAGCTGTGGAGGTACCATAGTTAAAGCATTCAACTGCTAACCTAAAGGTTAGTGATTTGAACCCACCAATTGCTCCATGGGGCAAGATGGGGCAATCTGATTCCTTATAGATTACAACTTTGGGAACCTTATAGGCAGATCT